CAGAAAACGATGAAGGTGCTAGATATTTCTTTAATGATTCATGCACCTCACGATTCTTGCAAGTCAATCATAACCATGACCACAATGAGAAAGTTTCGGAAGGAGTTTACAGCCTGTATGGAAAACAAAAATGCGAGCAGGATTACCATAGAAGAGCTGCTGTATTCGATTGGCTTATCCTAGAACTTGAAAGGGTTTCGGAGCTCCTAAGTTGTGTCTCACCCAGTCAACTGCCTTACTGCACTAGACCATTTATAGCACTTCCCAAAACTTATATACCAGCCAAAAAAGGGACTTCTCGCAGTTTTTTTTCGGGTCCGACAAAGGGTCCTAACAAATTATACAAATGTGCAACCATTGAGAATAAGTGTCAGAATTGCAACAGTACGAGTGGAACACAGCTCATAAAAAGAAAGAAAAGTAAAGCTAGGGCAGTGCATAGGCGAAGCAGGAGCTTCAAACCAGTCTCAGGTTCTTGAAGACAGCTTGCTTGGGACCTTGACCAAAACCGCGGTGTCTAGATTCCAAATCTAACTAATTTAGAATTTCATGATGAAATCTCTTCATCTGAGATGAATCCCATTGCACATTCTCAGGATCTCGGGGTGAATACCCTGCAACATACGTACGTGTCTTGCGGTGTAGCCACTCAACCAGTCTACTTCAAGTCGCAATCAATAGAAACCGATATCCACGACTTCATAAGCCGAAGTATCGAAACAGACGATGCAAGGCTACTCGAAAAAAGTATGGAGACATCCAGGTATGGCATCTTATCCAAAGCATAAATAATTTATCTGTAACATCAGCTAATTTTGGAATAATGTCTATGCGAAACAAATCGCCATAGGTGTATATCGTTTTCACATTCATTTGCGTTTTCCCTTCAATTCTCTCATACAATGTACAGTTGGTTATCCGTATTCCTCGAAGCTGAGGAACTTCGCCTCACCATTAGCTGGAGCACATTTTCTGCCAGAATTTTTTCGCAAATATGCAGCTCGCATTAAAGTTCCTTCCAACTGCCCATTATAAGCGCGGTGCCATAAGCGTGGAGAATGGTCTTTACCAGTCCATTCAAAATTCTTGTTGTGATGACATCTAGTGTTAGCACGAAGAAGAAAGGGCACAGGAGTGATTCTTCAGGAACCCAGGGCTCCTCAATATATTCTTCACATCATAGACCCACTGAAATACAGCCGTTCTGTATCCAAGTTGAATGCATGAGGCATCCGAAGAGAATTACATTGACTGGATGCCCCTACTTTTTTTTGTTACTTTTACCGTGGACATACTTACCTATGACGATTTCGATCTAATTCTCGCTGCATTTAGTGGCCTTGTTTTCAGCATTGCCTAGCCTTATTTTGTGTTAATTATGTAGTATCCATGAATTTTCAGAAGTGAATATGTGGATGCTGCAAGCGATGCCTTTTCGAACTTGTCTTGGGCTGAGAAAGCCCGTCGTGATATGATGACATCACCAGTAATTCGACGGTTACTCTTCAAAACAGCTGGCACTAGTCGGCATTCTGATTCAGCTGAAGAGACGCAAAGCAGAGCGGACCATTCACAACAGACGTCACTGATTATCGATCGCCTTCAGCCAGCTTTCGATCAGGAACAACAAACATCGATCATCATCGATCTGCCGCCACGTCCATCTGTCGATCATGTTGCCGTCCAGTCATCACCGGATGTCATGGAAAAGATGACTGCACCAATGGTAGCGTTGCCGTGGAATTATCCAATGCCAGCATCGCAGGATGATATGATGAATCGGTGGGTGGAAATCAGTTAATTATAACTGCAGTTATGGAGCATAAGTGATGGTTGCTACAGATCTCAGCAGACTTCAATCGAACTACTAAATCAACTGACGGCTAGGAAATTGTCTGTCGTCTCGACTTCTGTCGGACCTGATGAAGGTTTGCATGCCATACATTGCATGATCAAAAAATTACTGTGACCGCTCAGATTCATGTTCAGAGGCCGAATCGTATCATCCGGGCACGGACTGGAATCATCTTGGCAGCAGTAGTTTCTATGACGGACGGATGACGGACAGTATCGAAATGAGGTAGGTCGGGGGCGAAATCTAACCAAACCTCAAGGCGATCACAACTTCCACCGTAACATCAAAGATGTTTTTCACGGGCCAATTAGAAAATAAGCCCTACTAGTGTGTAAATGTTTACAGTACCCAATGCTCTCCGCCGATGTCGCGATCAGTTACGACGCAAAACAGTAGAAATTTGGGTGTAACGTGAGTTACGGAAGTTCTAGAGATCATCCAGTTCTTTCTTTCGAAAGAATTCTTTGCAGTAATACCAGAGCACGATCGAGTTCAACATCTGGTCTGGGTACGAGCATCTACGAAGAAGAAAGTCGTCAGGTTTGTGACCCCTGCATGTAGCTGATTCATTTCAATACCTGCACCCGAGACTATTTTATTTAATTTGTAACACTTAAACTTCCCGAGCCCTTCACCATGTAATACCAAGGAGGTACCACAACCCTTAAGACTCAGGAATGTAAGACCTTCAGGGCATAGTCCTGCGTGGTGTAGAACTCCGAAGAAGTACCCTTGGAACCTAGCGCTCAGCACAGGTTTCGCAGAATATTGTTATTTTTTGCCTTAATTGGAAACTACGTGCTAAGAAGAGTGATAGTAAGAGGATCCTTCCCGGAACCCATCAGATCACGAGGTACAAAATCCACAATGCAAATTTGGGATATGCATTCTGGAGAACAGTCGACTTAAGGTATCTGTTATTCTTTCAGGAGGTCATAATCCAAACAGATGACTCATACTTGAAAATCGCCCGTCGATTGGACGAGTATCGCTCGAACCGTACACAGTTCCTTCCCGTAGTGGCCGCTTCGCCACTTGAATCTCGCGACATTGAACCTTTCAAGTAGGCAACTTCCTTTTGATGAGAGAATCTTTAGGAAAGAAATTGACGAAATAGTTATATTTTAGAACTGATCGACCTTCAGAGAGGCGTGGATATTCCATTGATATTAAAGGGCTCCAGCGGAGGTGTTCCATAAAGCCCAAACGACGGATGAGTCATAAAATAAAGTGAGTAGCAGTGGTGATATTTTATTTTATCTATGATTACTGCTAGGACGGAGGTGGTGCAGTGCGAGCGGCGTACTACACACACGCATGGTCACGGGTCGATGATCGCCTGGACCAACTAATCCTTCCATCCCTGCGGGGTCGGTTAATTGGTACCAGACTCGTCTGGGAGGATAAAAACAGTGACTTGTACATCGTCTGGCAACCGCAAGTCATTGTATAGGTCGCATACGCATTCAATTCCCTTTACGTTTCCGAGTGCAAGTCAAATGCGGGAGTGCATCTCTCAGACGGGATTGATTAACGCCCCATGTTCGTACTAGGAATAGCCTAAATCCATTAGCTGGAGCCCCACTGAACCTACTTCTATGGAGGCAATGGGACGACTTTGGTCCGCACCTGGCCAATCCCATCCTCTCTGGAAATCACTTTCGATAGCGTCTAGACAACTAGGAAGTTGAAAGAGAAAACACTAGTGTAGCGAATGTTGAATATGCCACAACATGGTTGTAGGAAGTTATTTAAATCACCTTCACGGCACGAAAAGAAGGATGAGTGAGTTGGCAGCGTGATTTATCTATTAAGACTAATTAGATTAGATTTTTTATAATAGAATAGAACGATGTTCTACAAATAACATAGAAGCCACTGATAGATAACAAGGACTAAACCATATTTTGCAGTAATGCCGAGGCTCAGACGGGTACTTCAATGGATCAGGATCGCTTAGAATCGGCACTTTCAGTGAGTTTATTGCTATATACATGCTATTTACATACCTACATGAAAGGATGGCTGCCAGTCTCAATTGAATCGAGGGAACGCTTGAGCAGTTTATGGGATTTTCCCATTCAGTGGGACAGAAAATGATCGCGGCGTACTCCATGCGTCTCCTAACAATGTTCTCCTGAAGATACTTCAATCCTCTCCTTTTCGTTTGAATTCGGTATACAAATCACAATGTGAGTTATGCCTGAATCTAATTGGACAGATGTGGCTTCAGGTGTAGGGACAGGACGGGAACGGACTCAATAATTGCAGCAATAGTTCACGAATGAATGGACGAAAAAAGCTAGGAACTGCATCATATGGGTGTCTGGGTAGGGGGAGATGTGCTCAAAAGTTTCGGGGAAATCCCAAATCTCTACTAGTCTACCGTGCTCCTGCCACTCTCACGAGAATGCCTCCCAATTTTTTTCGTTTATGTTTTTCAAGCACTCCTTTTTTATTTCAGTTTTTTCCACTTTTTAGTGTCCCTTGTTACCAGTAGAAAGTTAGATTTAGAAAAAATATTAGATTGCACTAGATTGCACGCCTAATTATAAATTACAGAGCAAGCCTGGAGTTTCCCGTCTGTTTTCCTTCAGGAAAAGCTAGAATGCCGTATGTTTCACAAAATTTACACGGTTTTTACCGTATTTGTTTAGATGGTGGTGAAGACCACCTCGATATGCATGCTTGAAGACCTTTGCTTTGCTTAGTTAGTTGCTTCCTCCTCAGTTTCTAACTGGTTTCATTTGGTTGCCATTGAGTTTTGGCATGACGCACTTCAGTTTTCTCTCAGAAATTGACCTTCCGTAACAGCGCAACCTATACGAGTGTTTTTCTCGTGTGGGAACGTAATCTGCAGTATGGATGATTGCGTTCCATACTGCAACGTTTGTGCCAGCTATAAAGCGATAGTTCTCATGCTTTCGAAGCTACGCATCGCGACGAAGACTTGTTCCATGCCAGGTTTGGTTGATTATTCCTCTTTCAGAATCGCCATGAAAAAAGTCGTTCAATTTCACCGCAAACTCCTCCACGATCACGTAAATCTCTCACACGCCAGATGTCTCTTCCAGCTGGAGTTGCCCGTGGCAAAGTCGGCGATTTTGTCGCAAAACATGAGCGTGGCATTCCGAATCCGGCAACAGGACGCGACCGGCCAGTACGAATCGTTCGACAATATGCCATGGTCGATAAGAGTACGTAGAACACCATAATGCTACGTAGAGCAGAATAATGCTGAATGGATAGACTACCACTTTCTTCATGGAACTCAAGAAGTAAGATGTAGGTAGTCTTCAGCTACCAACGCACGATTTTTGTTTCCCATTTTGTTAGGATTACTTAGCAACTAGAGTAGTTTTAATAGCTAGAAACTCGGTAACGAGATCCTATCGGTAACTGGTAGACCGAGCTATCATTGGCCCTCGTCCCAGCTCAGTTTCCAGTTGATCTTCAGGGAAAAATAGGAAAGCCCACTGGCCACTTGCGCGCTCTTGTTATTGAAGAGATGACTTGCCAATCTGAATATAACCTATCTTATTCAGTCAGTTGCTCTGCATGCTGGGAGCGGCCTGGACTTAATTCGGCTCTGCTGGGCCAACTACGCTTCAGACAATATAGGGCCCATCATTAATGTGTCCCTTACTGAACCCTCTCTAGTTTTCCGTGGACAAGTCGGTACTGGTCCATCATGTAGAGTGAAAGGTGTCAACCTTGGCATATTCCCAACACGTAGAAGGAACAGCTCGTAGGTCCAGACTTTCTGCTGATCTTCGGAGCTATTTCCACTAATTAGTCTCCGTGACATGTTTTCTCAGATGAAATCTTTATATATAAGTTATTGAACTACAAGTGTCGATTGGTATATTGATCGTGAGATATTTTCACAAAATAATTGTTGTTGATCATTAATACAAACGGGTACCTCTTGCCTTGCTTAGATGTCTTGCCTTAACTTTCTGATGTGTAGTTGTTTTTTGAAAGTGTCTTTGTGTTGTAGAGGTTGTCAGAGTCGTTATCGATAAAACTATAATGAGTTTGTGTACACATAAATAAGGGAGCAGGTTTCGAAAGGGAAAGTGCAAGCTATGAGGGCAGCTAGCTATGATTGAGGTGCGGCTAGGCTGTAGCTCTGTAGCTCTATGAAGCCTGGGGATCTCCTGTGTTCCCACAGCTGTTATCTCAAATTACTTAAGAGAACGCCGCATCGTTACTGTTACTCTGTCTGATAGAACTACGAAAAGCGATTCACTCGAAGGGCTGCATAACTACACCTTCATCCTTATCTCAGTGTAGACGAAAAAAATGAGCTCAAAACCCAACAAATCCAAGAGCTTAAGTGTACCCCAAAATGATCGCATTTTTAGGCAAAGAAATAAGGCTCTTTTCTTTTTTTCTTTATCCACAAATTCCCCTTGGTGAGTTTCGCTCCAAATGACGCTTTTTTCATTCAAAGATATTCTCACCCAAGAATGAGCCCTCGACCACACGATTTCCTATCTGAGTCTATCCGCAAAATACTGATTGTTGAAGGTTCGTATTAATGAACTTCTCAACCGATTTATAAGCTTAGCTGATCGTCGGTGAGAAAACATGAGAAAGGGAAACGGCTGGATCATAGGGAATAGATATTCAAGAGATGAAGACAAAAAGAAAGACACAACAAACATGCAATGGAAGCAGCCTCTTAGTTTCAAAGGGACCTATACTGTTGCAAGCCACAAGAAAGCTTAGGATACCTCAGAAACCTTTATTGATGACCATGACTTTTTTGATGAAGTATGGGAGGTATCACACCTTACGCGTGGTTTGGACAGAATCAGGTCGGGGCTTCATAGAAAGCTCAAGCATTTATAGTTCATTCAACCATTTCATGAGGAAGACTCTTTCATTATACTGTTAACAGGTAATTCCTTAGAACATTTGAGCCATGCCAACTCAAGAATTCATAATCTGTCCAGCTCAATGTACAGACCTCTATGACTATCAAGTCATAAATTCAGACGCAATTGTTAGCCTCGACCGCTCGGCATGTCCGCTACAAGACACCCGGTGAAGACCATGAATGCTTCAACGACGGTATTGTAGCGGACCGTTTGAGATGCGGTCAACATATGAAAGTCGAATAGCAGAGAAGACGAGCCGATGTTCAGATGAATGGGCCGAGCAGACGACGAACAACTCGATGAATGATGGTTGACCAGCCTTTCAGCCCTATATATGAAGTCGAGGTGGTGACATCTCTCCTACCAAATCCGCCCTAGGTGTCACTTTCGGCTACGATCTGGATAATGGACAGCGACCGTGTCAGGGCTGGGTTTATCTGATTATGAGTTGCTAGGCCCTCAGGAGCTATATATTACCTGGATGGTCACGATCCCATCTGATAACAGTATGGCTGAGCCGATACAGGACAACACTTGATACGGAGTCAAGGAACATTCGTCTTTCGATGTCAATGTTCTTCACACAGGTTCTTCAAGGCAATCAACTGATGTTGGACTTGTCTTGAATGGCACTGACATCGTTCGAAGTAAAAGCCATCATAATCATCCACAATCACGTGAGTATCATGCCCTGTTATACGGACGCCCCACCTATATCACATTTTAAACATTTTTGTGTGCAATTCTTAACATATTTTTTTACTTCACAGGTTACTGAACATAGCAGAAGGCAGTTCCCAAAAAATCTGAGTAAGGTTAACATTTGGAACCAGAATCGATTCATTTTATTGGCTTTGAGCAATCTTCTCGTACTACTATGAAAATAACAAATGTTTCTTCCGCAGCTTACAGAACGCAAAAGCAAGTCCACTCGAAGCGGGCATCGGACTTCTTTCATAACTTTATATGTCCACAACTTCCTTGAAAAAGAGGGGATAGACTCTCCTTCCTGAACCATAGATACGAAAGGGTTTTGAACTACGAAACCGGTTTCTCCCGGGAAAAATATCAAAGACAAAACCGATTATCTCTGCGCCAAGAATTGGATAATATGAAAAAAGACAAACGTTTAATAGATAAATTATTGAAGTGTAATCCTCTACAACTCTGGAGACTCTGGGACCCAAGGAAAAAAGTCAATCACGTAGGATTGATGTTTGGGATGACTCAGTTATATCCTCTAGCCCGGATTTCGAACAATAGCAACTAGCTACAAACTGTGACGTTTGAAAAACGGCATGACGAAGCGTCAAGTCAAGCGGACCCATCAGAATGCGCCGTCTATTTAGCGTATACGAAAAACACGAAACAGGGTTAGGCCCGTGCATCACCTATGAAAGCGCTGTCAATAATAAAAGAAATTCTCTTCCCTCCCTTCCTTGAAAAGCTTGATATGGAGAGAATCAGTTGCCCGGAGCGGAAGTTCTTCAGCGAGATGCAGTACGGTACACATAGTCATGTCTTCTTCGGTAGGGTTATCCAACATTACTTAAGCAGGTTTCGGCAAAGCAGCAATCCAAATAGATAATCATTTGGATTCTCGAGTAAGTGTAGTTGGTTCATTACCGAGTTTCATCCATCTTTTAAAGAAAAAAACTTTCACTGTGTTGGTGCACAGCAAAGATCCGGTAAAACTAAGCAGTAGATTTCGCCTCCGAAGCAATCTCATTCTCCCATTCCTGAGTATATCAGAAACATAGCTCTCGAAGCTCTTCATGCCCCATGAAAAGTCTAGAGTGTATAGACACAGTGCAACTAATAGCAGAAGCACCACGACAGACGTCGGGCTGACGGAATAACACTGGTCATTAGTCAATTTGTTGTCGATTAAACAACGTCACTACTATACGTTTTTCCGTGATAACAGCTGTTGTCGTTCCAACTTTCAGACACCACAGTAGCAAACAGCTTTCTTGTTGAAGGCTTGATATTGCTCATCCTCAATCCACGGAACCTTGTCGATTGACATCCTCAATCCACGAAATCTTGCTTATCTTGAATGTATGCTAATGTATTCAACGCACTCGGTCTATCGGCATTCTTTTTTGTGTGCACTACCGCAGTAACTCACCGTTATACGGCTTTTTAGCCCTAAATATAAACCGTACAAATAGAAGAGATACAGATGTCAGTGTCGGTCATCAATTGGTGATAGAAAGTGATAATAGTAGATATGGGCTGATACGAGGTGCTAGACGGTAGGATCTGTTGCATTTGTGGTAGTTGAATGCAGTAGTCCAGTCGAATCAATACTAAAGTCACGAGCCACTTTCGTGCTAGTGTGAGATGGGTTTTGATGCTCAGGTATGCTCCCCCGAACAGAGGAGGGTCCCCTTCCCGGTAAGGTATGCTCTCAGGGAGAGCAGAGAGGTAGATACTCTCGGGGAGAGCAGAGAGAGAGAGACCCGAATCCGGGCGTCCCAGCCTCGAACAGGAGAGCATACCTTACGGCCCCAGGTGGAAGACTTTCACTCCCTGAGAGAACTAACCCACTGAAAAGTGCTCTTGATGTATGAAGTCTTCTACCGAAAACGTAGTGTCGATAGGCATGTCCACATAGTTCCTCTCGCATCCCATCCTGCGTCGAAATCTCCAACCTCCACGTCTTTGTTTCGCATTTTCTCTCATAGTTGAAATCCATAGTATGAGCTTGCAACAGTCTCGAAAAGCCCACAGACAGTAAACGGAAGAGAATAACTGATAAGTGGCTTCCGTATCATAATCCTGTAGGGGATCAAATCCGGGTCGCTTCCATCACGATCGATCATTCGCCCAACACTTTGGAGGTATGGGAAATTAGAAGCAAACAGAAAGGTCTAAAGGGCTTACTTTTACATTGACTAGCTCACAAGAGATTATGATCTCAAATAAGCATTCCAACGCCACTATAAGTATGGGTAGAAATCGGATACGTGGATTAGAAGGACTTTGATGATCAACGTCAGATAACTTTATTCGATCCTTCAAGGTATATCGCCAACTTGAAAAAAAAANAAAAAAAAACTAAAAGTCATGCGAAGCAGCGTGCGGATGGAGTTCCAGCGGCCCCAAATGTTCTGGGTTGATAGCAGAACTTGAGCCTTAGCATTTGATTTGCTCCAGCAATATCATGGTCACCCTTACCGCTGCAAATTCACGATGCTCTCTAGTCCAACATGAGTCTCTAATTTGAATCATCACAGCAGTAACAGCGATGGCTAATACCAAATGTCGCTACTAAAAAAGCTTCCATATGTGGAATCTTTCGAAGTTCTTTTTGATAACGCAACTGCGACTGCTAGATGAGTTCCGCTTTTGACGTCTTTGATAAGAAATAACAACTGTCCTTTTAGTAGCAAATGGCAGCAAAGACGAATGTCATGAAAAGATTCTCGTGCATAAGCCAAAGGCAAATGGTTTGGTGTGATGAAATTTGAGAAAACTAACAAAACAAAATTTAATAACACAAACTTTGGGATACGTAGGAACCTTTTTCCTTTCCCTCTCTCACTGGGAACGGTGAGTATTCTTTGCAGGCATAAATTTTTTTTTTAATTTTTTTAAATTTTTTTTTCGTAGAAGTTCCTGTTCCGATAATCAAATCAAAATTGACAACATAATTTCTATGCTAACATGCTGATCTTTCTGATTGCGCCGTGAAGTCAGACATAAATTACCTTTTTTGTACTTATCAGTTAACGCTGATCCGACAGCCCTTCTCTAATGAAATCTTTTCAAACAAACCCACTCTATTCTCAAGAAAATCCCCCATTACAGTCCACTAGTTGTAACAAATGAGAATGATGAATGTACTGTACTTACCGAGAACATCTGCTCGTGGTGGATTTTGAGTTGATCTTGTTGATGGGTGAGCCGTTCACATATAGTGGCTTCCTGGAAATATTCTTTTACACTGTCGAAAAAACAAGAATAACAAAACCACAAAACAAAAAGGTTCATAGGGCTAAGGAATAGAAAAATGGCATCAAACACTGCTAGGTATTCCCCTGCATTATGGTCTACAATTAGGTCTACACACGAGATATAGATGATTTCTAGTACACATTCGGATACACTACATGTATTCTTGTATGTTTTCAGTGGATTGGCACAAAATTCTTACCAAATATCGTATCCAATTTGTTTTGTTGTAACGACTCCTCCATAGCGCCGTTACATGTTCCTTATCACTAAGTTTCTTAGACTCAAAAAAGATTCCAAGAATTTTTTCTACCAGGTATGAAGTTCTACATCATCTTGAGCATATGCCTGGTATGCTTTTCGGCTCCACTTATCGATGATGTGAACGAAGTGATGGAGAAAAAAGAAGAAAAGAGTGAGGTTTTTGTCAAAAACTTTTTTTCAGTTTTGAGGTTTTCTTTTAAGCTGCGGAACCGAGATTGCAACGATTGTAATAGTGCTTGATCGAATGTGGTTTTTCAAATGACTTTTGTTTTTCCAGGCTCCGAGGAAGGAAAAGGCACCGAAACGTCAGCCTAATAAGATATTGTTGCAATTTTGGTTCCACAGCTTAAAAGAAAACCTCAAAATTGTAAAGAAGCGTGACGAGATTTATAGACAGTCGCACTTAGACACTTTTTTATCAATATATCCTCCAAAAGCAATCAAAACTTTTGCACAAACTCAATCTTCTTTCAACTCCATTTTTATTTTCTGATTTCATTTTAATGAAAAAATCATTTCAGTGCTCACCATGGAAACATTCGACGGGTATTTGGACATGATCAAGATGTTTCGAGGTTTGTTCGCATCAATTTTATTTTTGTACCACACAAGTTGTTTCATCAGTTGACAAACCAATAAAGCAAATTCGATGCAACCTGCATTTTATAACTTTTTCAATGTTGTGTCAGGGAAGGAATAGCGATTTCTGAACTGTTATGTATGTAATTTGCTACAGCCTTTCCAAGATTATAAACTTTATAGGGCTAACGTTTCGGCGAGTTCACCTTCGTCAGTGCCTAAAAAGTCGAAAAACCATTGAGACTGACTCTATAATAAGGCGAGATAAACCCAAGATAGTTCTTCAGAATAGAGACCCCTCGAACCTGGTATACAAGAAGCTTACCTTGATCTTGGTGAGGTCAGAAAGAAGGAAGGCTTGCTCATTGTACGCATACTGTAAACATTGGATGGTCGATCTAACGCTTCGGCGATTTAGATCAAGGTAAGCTTTTTGTATACCGGGTTCAAGGGGTCTCTTGTCTGAAGAACTATCTTGGGTTTATCTCGCCTTATTATAGAGTCAGTCTCAATGCTTTCTCGACTTTTTGGGCTCTGACGAAGGCGAATTCGCCGAAACGTTAACCCTATAAAGTTTATAATCTTGGAAAGGCTGTAGCAAATTACCAATCAGTCAATTACCAATCAATCAGTCAAAGGTCATGCCAAGATTAAGAGAAAGTCAATCGTGATATATGATTTCTGAACTCTTGTACTATTGTAGGTAGCGCTCTCCTTTTAATTTAGAAAAAACAGTAATCCCCGAAGTTCTGCAATCCCTTAGATATTCTGACGCTCTCATGTCCTGTCACTGTCCTATCTCAATCTTAATGCCTTAATGCAGAGTACGGGTTACGTCCTGAAAGCCCGGTTCTGACTCTAAAAACTACCCTTTATCACCTCTAGGATAATCACAGATCCCCGTGTCACTCCCATCTTTCCCTGAACTTGTGTCTGAAGGCGGTCAGTCGTCGTTCCATCAACAAATACTGCTGATGACCTTGTTCTCAACAACAAAAAAGAAGAAAAATGACTGTCGTTTCTGTACTTTCTTGCTTTCGCTTGAAAGAGGGTAGTCGTATTAGTACTATACTCAGTACATCGCTTTGCATGTATTAATGTAGACATTTTTAGGTATGCTACCACAGGATCTCATGAAAACAATAGATAATGTTAGTTAGTTACTGATATTATATTTATAAGGTAATGCCCTTAAGAAGAATTTTAGTTAAACCTAACGGAAAAGGGCGAACTAATAAGCTTCTTGTCGGACTGGTACAATGGAAGAATAAAGAAGCCGGAAAATAAGGCGGAAATCGTGGAACTGCTTCAAGAGAAATTACCAACGGTGATTTGTGCTTTCTTTATTTAAGAAGCAAATATTTTGAAGGAGCACTCAGTACCTATAAATTGGTGCTATCTAGCAGCAATTACACTCGTTTCAGGTCTACGACAAGATCCACAGTCTGAACACTACATTTTATACCAAATTCCAGAGCTTGAAGCCTGAAACCCAAGAACTACTTCGCTCGGTAAGTATGCTTCGGAGAGTTTATGATGTCGCGTTCCTACCCATCTCCCCAAACAGTAATCTAGTGAGTAGATCGCTAATGAAGCAAGAAATTAAACATTTTTGAGAATATTAATTCCGACAACTTGAGCTTCCTGCCGACTACTTTGCCCATAGTTCTTTGATACCTTCGGAAGGGCACTTGCACCTACAAACAGCTTATTTTACAACTGCTTGGAACTGTACGCACCCAGGCGGATCGCTTTCTTCCAAACCCGTTAGGTTTGGCCGATCCCAGTCATATCAGCTAAAAGACAAAAATTGAGCATGAATAATCGGTGGGATAGCTGAATGTGGGCAAATAGTTTGGCTAGAATATTGCTGAGCAGTTTTCTTTGTTTCTTCAATACCTTGTAATACTGCACAACTTCAGGCCTATTAAGTCGACTTTTCTTTCCTGACCAGGTGAATAGCCAATTGGATATTCTAGTGGCGAGACAAGGCGATTTCGTTGGAAGGAGATACCCCTGCTGAATCGGCCGCCAAAAGACTACAATTCCTGAGAGATGTCGCATTATCCGTACAGACGATGAACAACGAGACGAAGGAAGATATACGATCGCAATTCCCTACAGCTGTTAACTTGACTGAAGGTGGGAGAGTTGAAAGTAGTTGTACTATATGTATAGCATAGATCCGTAGCCCAGCTTAAACTCTGCTTTGACCATCTTCAGCCAAAAGTTGATCAGAGAGACCCCAACTATAAAATTTGTTCCAGGATTCGGCTTCACGGTGCTCACGACGCTCGCAATGATCGCGCAAAAGATCATGGAATCTTTCAGCACAATCGCTGCTGCCGTTACCGGTGCACCTCAGGATGCACCTCAGGAATGTCCTATTCCTGTCCGCTGATAGACAGTGGAACACTTCTTGCTCAGATCTTAGCGACTCCATATACTTCAGAATGTCAGGAGCATTGTTTACGCCAAGAATGTCCTGTGTATTCGAATTTTTCTATTGTTTGACTTCATTTTCAACGTTAATGATAAAAATAGAAGTGAAATTTGAGGCCTTATTGCTCTACTGCTCCATGGTCCTCCCTTGCTTTTATGCTCTAATCTGCTTGGCTCTACTGTGGACTAGTGCGAGAATCAAACTACCAATTTGACAGACAGGGTTTATCAGAAATAGACAAAAAAAGAAGGAATTCAGAAGAGAAAAGAACAGGATGGAAACCAAAAAATATATCGATCGTTCTACAAATTGCGTTGGGGAATCGATAAGCTCTATATGAATACCTCAGCTTTCCACAAACATCGAATCGTACTCCTTATTTCAATCCTGTTACCCTACTATCTCGAAAGCGACCGGAACCGAGAAGCTCAGATAACGGAACTAATGTTTCCTTGGAATGCATGATTGAACCACCGCGGTCTTTTTGATCATTCTTGCCAGTCTAAGGTGATGTCATGCATGTGATGCCAAGTTTTTCTCACTCCGCCTTCCAGGAATATTAATCACAGGAAAAAACTAATCTACCTATTTTATTTTGGGGAGACCTTTGATAACGTAGTTACAGTTATGAAATTCTGCATTCCATAAACCCTTCCTATATCACTGGCTCCATGCATGGCGAGGCTTAATCTTCAAGAAGATCACGACTAGTTGCTGTTCAAAAATCATTTGCTGATCGAGCTACACATCGATAATCGGTTTGGGAGATGCAACTGGACGAAATCACCACCCTCTATGGCCAAGCTCCGAGTAAATGACTTCATAATTCAAAATGTTGTTGCCTCCACCTCAAGGTTAAGGTTGTATAGCTACAAGTTATGCACAGTTACATACATGGGCTGAAAACGAATACGGGTCAATATCTGCCCAAGCCAATCAAGCCTTCCATCTCTCCGAGTTTAGTGAATTGGGNGGGTGCCAGACTAGTGTAGGAGATGAAGTGCTAACTTTGTACATCGGCTGGCCACCGCAACTCATTGTACAGGCCATCGCTACGCATTCAAACCGCCATTACGATTCTGATTGGAAGTGTCAGCGTTGGGATCCCACGAACGAGATCGATTAACGACATATGTGTCATCAGAGCTTAAGTTCAAGGGATGCAGTAGAGAACTCAATGGCTGCTTTCATTGTCCGCCTGCTAGGGATAGTGCGGTCTCCGGCCGGCGGACTATAAAAGCAGCCGATGGGTTTTAATCAAACACTCAGAAAGGAAAAAAAAACACTCAAACCCCTAACTCGCGTTACTGCTAAGAAATTGCGAAAGACTTTAGCTGCCTTGCAGAATGGTGTTTCGGAGGTGCGAAGCGAATAGCCATAACTTATTTTTAGAACGGAATGTTGAGTCATCATGCACTGTTCTGCCTATGACTCAGGCACTTATCTAGAATTAAAATTTGGCCATGCTCCTCATTATTAGAGTTGACCCTTCGCGACAAAATTATAATGATAATGAAGATGTGGCCACGCCCTTTCACACATCATTATTTTTCTCCTATGCTTTTTCATGAGCCTTCAACTCGTTATTAGAAAGGCCTAAATGACTTGCGACTGGTGCAAACCATTCTTTTATTGCAAAGTAAATATATCAGATTTACTTAGTTGACATTTCAGAGTAAGTGATCTTACAACAACGATAAGCTTGTGGAAATAACAAGCTTTATTAGATCATAGTCTTGATCATCATCGTCGGCCTGTATTTGATGGTGCCACATAAGCGAGTTGTTAACACTTTTCAATGAAAGCCTCTCGGCTCTACAGGCTCCGACAAAACGATTTTGGCATTGCGTGTTTATTTGTTGAGTCATCTTTATGCAGATTTCTACCAAAACTCCCACGTCTTTCCATTCCCTCAGCGGCTTTCCTTCGACACTGCCGTCCCCCACACCAGATGACCTCAAATTCAAACACGGACTTTATCATTCAGCCATGGAACAGTTCAAGTGAGTACCGTTAACGTGTATTGTAGATTTTTTTGGATGAAAAATGATGTGCACCGTCCTTCTGGTCCAATGGAGATGATCACTACGTAAAGAAACAGAAAAGAAGGGTTTCTCGTTTTGACCGATCGACCGAAACGGTTCAGCACTGCCTCTCGATCGCCATAAACAAACAAGCCTTCTGTATATGAGACTTGAGAAATTCACTTCACCATCTCATAATTCCCAATTGATTAGGGACTATAAGATCTTCCTACTTCCTGACTTTCTCTCCTCAAAATTGGCAAAAAAAGTTCAANCCCACACCAGATGACCTCAAATTCAAACACGGACTTTATCATTCAGCCATGGAACAGTTCAAGTGAGTACCGTTAACGTGAATTGTAGATTTTTTTTGGATGAAAAATGATGTGCACCGTCTTTCTGGTCCCATGGAGATGATCGCTACGTAAAGAAACAGAAAAGAAGGGTTTCTCGTTTTGACCGATCGACCGAAACGGTTCAGCACTGCCTCTCAATCGCCATAAACAAACAAGCCTATTGTAAATGAGACTTGAGAAATTCACTTCACCATCTCATAATTCCCAATTGATTAGGGACTATAAGATCTTCCTACTTCCTGACTTTCTCCCTCAAAATTGGCAAAAAAAGTTCAATCGACAGGGTTCAATTCTGCATGCTGTTGCATCGAGGTGGCATTAATACGACCCGAATATAAAAACAAAATGCCATCAAACATTAAGGAGAAACAAGACTACTTTCTGGCCTTATCAGCTACACTTTTTTTTGGTGGGAGAGTGCATTTCAAAACCTCATTCACGGTTATGCATGAATAGTAAAGGGCAAGAGATATTCATTGATTGATCAGCATGAACCAAAGCGGTATGTTTCTTGCATTCTATTTTTTTAAAATGAAATTTCAAAATTTGTCGGGGTTCTACTTTTGTTTGTGGCTTACAGATTGTCTCGAGCCTTGGAAACCTCCATTACCTAACATAGACTATGAGCCAATGTTCGCTCCCTTTCTTGAAATGTCTGGTGGTCTGATGAAATTGATTGCGCGTTCTTCAGACGAAAAAAGCATTGAGGTATGTTAGAGCTGTATCCAGAAGAACATTTTCACCAAGTGAAATACAGGAGAGTCTGCACGATAGAACTTCACATTCACTTTTTCACTTTTTTTTTAATTTCAAGGCAAAATACGGCTTAGAAGTACATGAATATTACGAAAGAGCTAGGCTGCATTTCAGGTTATGATCGAATCCATCGCACAAAAAAGTACCACTTGGAGCACAGTTTTGCAATTATTCATGCACAATGTAAGACATTTACTTGCATCATTAGCACTAATGTGTTCTTCAGCTAGAAATATGCTGAATTTACGAAGAAGGCTTTTCTGTACTACGTATAGTACTCACAATCAGTTTCAATGAAGAATTCTTCTAGAACATCCGGTTAAAAACAACCAGTCGAAATAGCTCCACTTCAGGTTGTGTCAATTCTGATTTTCGTATCCGGATTTCTATTAGCTTTGACCGTCCTTCTGGGATGCGTTTGCACGTGCATATTTCGATCGTCTACGGCGAGTCGGGTAAGATTTCGGAGTAATCAGGGGGATTATGTATTGAGAATCAGTTTAGGAGAAACCAAAAAGCGGGCGTATTTGGTGTTCTTGGTTTATGTTCATATTCTGCACGATGATGTCGATTATATGTATTGTGCTGGTGGGCAGTGCAGCTCATTCGATCACAGTTGGTCTTAATGCGTTACCGGACCAAGTGAACAAATCTGTCACAGGTGAGTTACATCCTTACACGTCCAGTTCCTGCCACCTGAGGTTCGAACATGACACTAACACTCAAAGAAAGTGAAAGGATGCGCAGCAAAGGCAATTATTGGTGAGTGTGTCCTCCTCTTCTAAACCTTCACGTCACGTTACAGCGTTGTGAATGGCTTCCATGGCTTGCATAAGTTCAACTTTAAATCGTACAGCGGGCTGGCAATGATTCTCCTGCTTATCCGCCCTCTGCTGCAATCCACTAGATTGTCATCCTTGACCAGTGATCACGACATATCCACACACTGTGCGCGGCTTAAAGACATAGCTGACGATAAAAATGGTTTCAGAGACTTACGTATAAAATCCGAGGCACCCCCTTATACCATATCTGCCGTTATGAGGGCGAAAAACGTCCTGGATAAGGTACAATAAGGAACCAGAGAATGTATGTGAATGCCACACGCTTAGTGGACGAGTTTCAACGGCTTTGTAGAGGCTGCACCATTCATAAGAGAACGAAGAAGGGAGTTTAAACAACTTGAAACGACTCATAGACAGTGAAAGGCAATTCTGGACAGTTATGGTTTGATGTAGTCAACTCTGTGCACGATGGGAGCAAGTTGAATCTCGTCCAAAAACCCCTCACATGCCAATTCTGTCGAGGTGATCTCGTGCAACCTACACTTCCACTACTCTTAAAAAGCTTGAAAGAGGTAGAATTCCTCGCTTTTCGCAACCGATGTACTCCTCTACATAAGCACTTTCGTTCTTCAACTTAAAAACGGTACCTCAAAATTATCGTGAACGAAACCTCTAACCAGTAAGAGATCTGTGTTGCACTCCACAAAACAGTAGAGTCTCTGATTTTGGATCAGTGGCATGAGCTGTATTTTCGGGTCATTTTTAGGTTTGGGACAAACCTTACCCTTCAAAGCGCGCGACCGTGCGCGATGGAGTGAGGCGAACGCAACGCCGATTCGGGAAGAGGACAGCGGACCCAATGATCCTGGATACCGGTGGACGGCCTATTGCGATGTAATAATCACTTTCATTTTCATACTGAACCAGGATCCACCGATCTACTCCTATGAGGGTTCTCTCTCACCAAAGAACCTCTGATCGATTATGACGAGGCTACTTTGCGCAACTATAGGTAGCGAATAGGAGATTAAATGGAAATAAGATAGGAAAATGAGACCAAATGTCACCGGCGCTGGCGCAGAGACGGAGGTGTATTTGGGGGATAGGCTACCTTTTTCTGCTGTAAGCTCGATTCCTATCTTGTTTTCCTCGCAGGGTATCCATCCCTGTGTGTATAGAAGGTATATGGAAGTTTATCGGCTTTGGAAAAGCTCGAATTCGGGTAACTGCCTAGTAACTAGGTGGGGTTGCCTACTAAATATAAACCCCTCCCCTCGCCCACACTGTGTTAGCTTGACTAGCCGCCAGGAGTTTGAACAGCCCCCTTGTTAGGACCTGGTAAGCTACTCCTGGATACCCATCTGCTAAAACAGTAATATAAATGAGAATCATTCTCCTGAACCTGAACGAACCTCAGATTCTTGTGAGAACGGAGGCTCACCCTCCAATGGATCAGGAAATTTCACAGTTAAAATATGTCTAAAATCTTGAGCGCGGCTACCACTATTCTCCTTCCCACGTCAACTGTAGCACCTTAACAAAGGATACGGCTAAATAAACGTTTGCGTCTGAGTTATTATTCAGCAACTACATATATTAACCTTGGGAATAGTACTCCAGATTTAAGTATGAAGGCCCAGAAGGAAAGGAACATCAGAGGAATATTTTCTGCCCTCTCCTCTTTCAGGCAGTGAATCTTGAACCCTCGAAGGCTGTTTCTTTTCTCTTCTTTTGGTTCGGTGTCAGATAGTCCATACTCCTGCTGGGGTAGAAAAACGGCTTGGGTTTTCGCATCATCACATCCCTCTGATTAGGAACCTATTCAATCCGTTATTACCGGGAGTTCACCAAAAATTCCGGCTGTTGCTATTCCATCCATCATAAGTTCCATTTCAGACGTCGAAAGTTTCGTAGGGCAACTGGCACAACAATTTCAATGTCAGTTTGAATATCATATAAATAACATCAGCGACTATGTCGAGACAATTGCAAATGGTAGTAAGGAAGAAGCTGACATTTTGGAGAAGACGCTGAGCGGCTTAGAAGAAGCTCGAGCAAATGTAAGGGTGTGAATGTGAGAAGGAAGAAAGAATAGCTGTAGATACAGTTTGACCAAATCGGACGTTTTCCAGTTGCAATCCCAAAATTTGAAAGAAAAATTAACTATTCTGATGGAAAGTGGAAACGCCGACTCGAAAAAAATTAAAGCTTTGGTGAGTTCTTTCATCCATATACTAAAATTTTGTATTTATTGGTCGCCCACTAATGTATTGCTTTGATATACCACCCATGCTTAGTTTTGTCTTCTTCTTCTTATTCATCAGCGTCTGTCATGCTTGTAGGCGAGGTCCGCTTTTCCGTTATGTCGACACCACTCCTCCCGATTGAACGCTTGATTGAGGCGGATGTTAACCGTTTGAGGTCCTCGTGCAACGTATCGAGCCATCTCAGCTTTGGGCGTCCTCTGAGCTGTTTTCCGGACACGTCAAGGTTGAGACCAATGTTACGGATACTGTCATCGTTCGCGCGGAGAACACTACACCGAAGAAGGCTTCGCGCGTTTTATCGACAACGGTGCTACACTGAATCGTTCCCTGATGACGTCGTTACTTATGCGGTCTAATCATGTTACTCCGGCTGTGCAACGCAGCATCTTGGTCTCCATATCACTGAGACGGGCCTTAACCGCTTTGGTCGCAGGCCAGCACTCAGCGCCGGAAATCGCGAACGGCCGGATGGCAGGTTTATAGGTCGCGGTTTTGAAACGATCAGGCATTTTCTTATCGCCAGTCATCGAGCACCTTTTCTACCACGCTGCATTCACGCGAGAATTCGTTTCAAAAACCAGGCTGCCGTCAGACGCAATTGTCGATCCAAGTTTCTCGAATATTGTTGTCCATGTGAGCTCAGTACCACTGATCTTGATAGAGCCTCGCTGGGATCGGTGGTCAAGTACTCAGTTTTTTCTGACCGTTTAACTCGTTTAATCCGAACATAGCCAGACGGTCAGACCAGGTTTCCACCTGATGCTCAAGCGCGCTTTTGGCTTCCTTGGCGAGCATTACGACATCGGCATAAAAAGGTGTCCATGTGTACCCCGACGGCGATGGGAAAATTTGTTGATGGATCTGCTGCCCCTTGCAGATGGAAGTTTGCACTCAGCTCTTTAGACTAGAGGAAAGGATGCGTGCCCACTCGATGAGCTCTTTGGGAATGCCATGCTGTCGTAAGGCATGCCATACAAAGTCTTGTGGAACGCGATCGAAAGCCTCTCCAAGTCTAGAATGGCAAGATGTACCGGTCTTTGTTTTTCGCTTTTTTAGTAGAAGGCGAGTGGCGTTAACGACATGCTCAAAATTTGAGGGAATCCGGCACAGGTCCGCCGCTATGTCGTCAGGACGAGTTGTTTTGCCCGGTTTCATCCTCCTTATAGCCGTAACCGTGTCCTTCACGATTATCTCCTGAACGGGGCCGTACCTGGCGGAGCGCAAGGGATGGCGGGATGTTGCGGAGTACTTTCGCCATCGCTCCAATGTTTTCTTGCGATCCGTCTAGAAGGTGATCGTTCTCTCACTTATGCCGAAGGACTTTTCTACATTCTCGGGCTGGCGATAGCGAGTCTTTGCGAGTCGGTATGAGTACGCTCACCATCGCGAGACTCGAGTTTCTCCTTCAGGTCGGCAAAATGAGCTGCCTTCGCAGGAGCAATTCATTGCTTTCTTGATCGCGATTGCGATAGCGCTGCCAATAATCAGTTAACTTTCTTGAAAGAAATGCTGGTATTGCTTTTCTCCTCACTCACTTATCTCTGGCATGATATCCGTCCACAGCCATGTTTGCTCGTCAACCTTTCGTCGTCCAGGCTTGATTATGCCAAGCTCCGACCGCGCATCCCGGGCTATCGTATTGGCAGCACCCTTCCAAGTGTCGTCGACAATCGTTACCGCCGGTATTCGAGTGCGGTAGACGATGTCCTCTTCTTTTTCCTTTAGTCGCCACCACTTGATTCTCGGTAGACCACATCTTTCGACTACTTTCGATTTCAGCGGGGCGATCTTTATCGTACAAACCGTTTCATAAGGTATTGCCTTCGCGTCTGTTACGAGCTCCTTGGCGCGGTGCCTGACAAGGACGAAATCAATTCATGTTCTGTTTCCACGGTTGTAGGTGATGAGACGAGGGTCTCTTTTTTGGAATTTCGTGTTAACAATGGCGAGATTATGCGAGTTTGCATATGCAGTTCGCTCGCCTTCAGCATTACGTGACCCACATTCAAAACCACCATGACAGCTATAACCGTCTTTCGTAGCGCCCACGTGGCTATTCAGGTCACCTTCGACAACTGTGGCTTCTTGTAACGGTACTCCAGCTGTCTTTTCATAGAGCAGCTCCTAGTGCTTGTCTTCGGTTTGCTCGGGCATCCAGTCTATGGAGTAACGCTAAGAAATGGTATTTTTAGCAATAGATGATTGCAACGATCTTCATTAGGCGGTCATCGAAGCGTTCCCTAACTATCACGAATCGTTCAGAGACAATTATCCCCATGCCTAGGTGGTTTTGGCAGCAGCACAGAGAACGAGTTCGAAGTCGTGAACAATGTCCCTTGACTTGCGGCAGAACCACGTCGTTTCCCGCACAGCAAAGAAATCAATTCGTCGACGCTCCATTGTTTCTGCTAACTCGTTAACATTAACATTTTTGATACAGAGGGTGTTCGTAGGCCCTCCTGTCGTCTGCATTCGAATGTCAGCGATCAGTTCAGCCCACAGAGTGAGCAATTCCCACTGGCACCCCTTGAAGGAATGGACATCACCAAAAATCGATTTCTCTCAAATTTGGAATATTTAGAAATTGGGAATGAAGCCAAATTTTCAGATTGGTCTAGTAGACGATGTGATAAGCCCTCCCAAAAGAATCTTCGATGAAGAACAATTGAAAAAAGGAATCTCGGAGGTAACGGTATTCTCAACTTTTACGTCAAGAAAAGAATTTTCGTATTATATTCGTCTACGAGGACGAGCGTCTCGTAGAAGGTGATAGTCGTTTTCAGTACAAGTCAAACTACCATTTACAATTGTGGGCACTGGCTTTGCATGGTATTGAATGACAACAGAGGGCAGGTTAATGCAAACAAGTGAGACTCGTCAAATGAACTACCCCTCCCACTTCGAGAACCAAGTGTTTGCACTTAAAGGTGGTAATGTAGCGTGGCGCAAACACTGATAGAGCGTAACAGATGCCATTTTGGTCAGTCTGAAACTGTGTGTGTGCGAATTAGGTGACATGCGGCCCATTGTTTTCTTGGCAGCGCGCTCTTCAAAGATCTATCAGTTTGTCAGACATCAGTGAGACCATATTTTTTTTTCGACGGGACTAGCCATTCTGCATTGTGTACAAGGCAAGCCATCCCATCCCAAGTAGCACACTTGCATTTATCGGGCATCTATGGGCGTCGAAAGTAGCTGGCACATAACTTCGCAACCGGTTTAGGTACTTTCCTTTTCCTTCTTTCCCCAGACCTATCCATCCAACCCTATATGACTCATTGTTATCTACAGCATAGTGCCAAGTAACACCTCTTCCATAAAACTCTTGTCTTCTGAACGAAAGAGGATTGGATTGTGAATTCAATCTTTCCTGCGATTCTTCGCGTGATTTTTCTTCAAGGAAACGACTGAAAGGCAAGCCGATGCTGCCAGGTCGGGACTATAGAGGGGCGAATGAGAAAATATCCAGCCAAGGTTAATTTTTCCTGAAATCCTTTATAAATGGGGTCCAGTGTCGCGTAAGGGGAGTAAACTTGTCTTGTTTTTCTTTAAATTCGGTTTCCTCACGGGTAGAGCTGTGCACATTAGAAACTCCTTGGAAAGTAGTCATTTTCCGATGAGGTTCTACAGGGTGCGCCATAAATATGGTAACAACTTTGCGGAAGTCCGCAATTCCCTGACTTAGAGGGTTTTTCTTAATCTGCTTATTCTCTTATATTTATCATACACCTTAGCTCACGTACCTGCAGTGGTGTTCTCAACTCGTCAGTTTTCGGAGAACGGTAAAGTCTCGCAATCCGTTCCGTCTCTGCGCGAAGTCGTTGAGTCCTGTTCCGTGATCGCTCGTCATTTCTCAGGCGACAATCTCTTCTATCGCTATGCCTGGACAGGTCGATGACCAGCCTTGAGACGATCGACTTGTTTCAATTACGAACCCTTCTCCGAATAAAATTCCTATGGAATGATTACGCTACGAAACCTGCAGAAACACGATAAAAATGACTGCTGTATTAAATGCATGTTCTACTTCAAAGGGAGTAGTCTTCCCCGAGCAAATACAATTGTCTATGGTTTTAAAGCCTGACCTGACTTCTTTGAGGGAATGCTCAGATCTCAGAATACTTGTGTATTTTCACTAGAAGTGGCGGTGAAGTTGAGAAGGGCCAGATCGTTTCATGTAGCCATTTCCCCTTTCTATGATGGTTTAAGCTGGAATCTGTGCTGTCAGAGCGATATCGTTTTTTTTTGTCGAGAACAAGAACATCTCCATGAGAGAAAATTCTGAGATTCTGTTTAGGGTCAAAGATTGCTTCAGGGACACGATTTGGGAAAAGGCGCACATTTGCTCACGAATGGAAAAAGATGAATTTGGCGCTGAAATGTTCGCAATTCCATCCCTACTTCGTCTGGCTGAAGAGCCTTGGTCCACATTCTAAGGGGCCCGTGAGTATAGCATATGCGGGAGAGCGAAGCCATTCAATGACACCACTGTCGCTGCTTCTAAGAAATCGTTGAAAGAAAGCCAGGGCTGAAGATTATTCCCAGAAACTGTGCGGGCCGCCGTCGCTAATTAGCCGAAGCGTCTTTGAGCTATGATTAGTACAGGAGACGGTTCTATCAGACACGTTCATTTTGTTGATACGATCACTTGGCCCGGCCGCTGTCCGGCGGGTGCTCAGCAGCACCAACCCACTCGCATGGGTGTGAAGGGCAATAGTTCCATGCATCGATATAAAACGCTTTTTCTGCACAACAATTATTTTGTTACCATATTTATGGCACGCCCTGTACATTCGCTGCGTCCTTCGGGAAGTGAATAGAATAAAATGATTTATTACCTACAGATGGCTTGCAAAATGTCAAACATCAGGTGCGGTAGGACATAGGATATGAACATGATGGGGTGGAGTTTTGAAAATCAGTATTAGAAAATGATAAAGGTTGAAAATCGACTATAGCAGAAATTCATGGGCAAGGCAGGTAGCAGTTACGTCGCCTGAGCCTACGAAAACGGAATATCTACGAATGAAAGGCAGTTAATTTGAACGATACAACCGACCAGCCATAATAATTCAATACAGCGAGCATGGTAGTCACTCAAACACTGCACGAATTTTTGAAATGGCTAATTTTACAGATTTCAGTTCAAAAAGGCTGTTGAAGTGTTTGGTAATCAACGTAGCGCGATTCAAACCATATTGCATTCAGTTATCAACGAAACTGTTCTAACGGTAAACTTGAACATGGCATCTTTACCCGCTCATATTGATGTTTTCATTGAATAACATAATGATCACGGTTCAGGTTTTCAACAGAATTGTTGATTTCGTTGCAGATTCATCTCATATGATTGATTCATTTTCGGAAAGTCACGATGTAAGTCAACATCTAATTGCAAGAGAATGGAACTAAGTACCCTTCAGCTCAGCTTGTAGAAGTTGGGTTGAAAGGGTGGAACATAGAGTTTAGTGTCCGATGCAAGAAAATATGCTAATGGGTGGTGTCCAACGCTTGAGTGGCGTCATGCTTGTAGCCACAGTCACAAGGCCCTTAGAGGTACAGTTCGACAAACAGACGGTACAACAGACAAGGGGCTTCAGGGGTCCAACGGCGGTTCCGAACATCCGTTGCTGACAAAGACTGCCAATAATGACTGTGCTAAGAGGCTGCTTAGAAGAGGAAAAATACCGAGTAGAAGAGTTCAAAATGGAGATCGATGCAAGAATGCTGTGGCCAACTTCTTTNTTTGCACCCGTAGAATCTTCCCTCACCCTCTCATAATGGGGATAGTAAGGAGGCGAAATGTCTCCTGGTGGGCTCAGGCATTGATGCAAGAACAAAACTCTTTCTTGCACGGTGTTGAAATGGGGTTTGACTGCGCTTACCCTCTATTTCCTATTGCTAAACATGCTTTTCTGGTTATCAATTAGCGACAGCACAGAACTAAATAAGGATGCGAGGTCATTTTCAATCATAGTATCGAATATCAGTATGAACACTGGCACTGTTCGATTTGGATCCTTACCTACCGTAGAGTGAATAATGGAATGAAATAGAACGAGGCAATTTCAACTTTATTACAGAAATTCTCTTACCATACCAACTACATTTTCTATCTATGCATCATCATACCTTCACTAATGCTATTTTTGTGCACACTCGCCATGGTGCTTCTTTTGTTTAGGTATGTTTCACCTTTTTCGGTGGGTGATTAGAATTTTATTCGCAATAAGAGAGAGGAGAATCGTAACACCTACAGAACAAGCTGTAGTAATCATGAGCTGAACTACCTTAACCTTCTTACCAGGGAGGGTTTCTGTTTCCCATGAAACTTTAAATATAGCCTTAGTTTATCAATGGCTTATTATTGCTGTTCACGAATACAACTGCTCGCTGAGACTGACCCTGAGGCGGGAAGAAAACCCAAAGCCTATGCCTCATAGAGCAGAGAACTACACCTGCGAAACTATTCCCTAACAAATTTTGAAAGCTTGAAACTCTTGGGGAAATTTTCCGGTAGTTTGAACTTTTAAGTTATGAGCTCTAAACCCGTGAACAGCGTTCTGAAATTTATCGATAAACCTAGGTCTTCACTCAATGTCCCACGGGCAGATAGACCCACCCTGGTTAAGTATAGAGAGTTTATACCATACTTTACAGGCCAAGGTAAGTATCAACCACTCTTTAAGATTGTATGAGTTTAAGGGCTCTCACAACTTCTCTCTAGGATGAAGAATGATGCGCAATTGGACTCGAAGCTCTTAATAGGTGCATTTTTTTACGGAAGTATTCTTCGATAAATGCAAGTTCGATTCCAACCCAAAGCCGAAAATTATTGCTCGTTCTTTTGGGACCCGCTATCGGTTGCCTGATAACGTCCACCAGAAGAATTTTATAAAATTTCTCATTTCGGAGAAGCGCTAATACCTTATTCAATTACTAGCTTCTAGACAAATCCAAAAAAATTCCCGCAGAAAATAACTCGATCAATATCCAGTATCTGGAACGCCCACCACTATCAGGTTGAGTCATAAGTCCTCGGACAAAATGGTAATGACTTCTAGAGATTATAACTCGGGAAAGAGGAGACGAAAATGAACGCGCGTGGCGCTGTTACGGGGTGCGGCAAAAGTTCTGGCAATGGTAAATATGATCGTAAAAACAGTCAAATCGATCGATACATGATACTACACCAGCAGCATTTATCAACAGCTATATAGGTCACAAAAAAACCTAGATCTCGAAATGGCATCCTTTTGCGCGAGTACAGGCTGAAATTCTCCTAGGAGATGCGTCGACAGCGGCACGGAGGTAGCCTTCGTCCGAATCCTCCCATGCTTCAACGAGGGTTGCACGTGGAGCATCCAAACTTCTATGCTTAGTAGAGCAGGCTTTCGTCTTAAGAACTGATCGGAATGGTCCAATGGATTTGGGACTGGACTGTTTGGGGGCCAATCGTCCGACGAGATGAGGTCTGGGAAGTGCGTTCCGCACCAGTCCTGTACCACTTCGGACTTGTGTGCTGGAGTTGAGCCCTGCTGATAAGTCCATGTCCTATTAACGAAAAGGATTTTGCCCAGGGGAGTTCCTCCTTCTCCAACACGCCTTTAAAGTAGGTCTTGCTATCCACCCTGACTTTCTCCAAGAAAATCGGGGGCATCTTGCCGTCCGATGTGATTGCCTCAAACACCATCAAGACTAGTGGTGTACAGATAGCTGAGCAATCCCTCCATGTCGGCTGGGTTCTGCAAGGCTTCCCGCTACCACCCCATCTTTTTGGGTGTTCAGGAACTTATCTGTTGAAAACAAACATTCGTCAGTGAAAAAGATGGTGCTGCGCCGTGCCTGCAAAGACCGCTCTAAAATCTCCTTACATCTTTCTAGCCTAGTTTTCTTCTCACGCTCAGTTAGCATGAGAGCTTTTCTGATCTAATAAGAGCAAGGTCGAAGGTGGCTGGCGACAATCCTTCCAACAGATCGAGCAGAAATACCCACCACAAAAGCCATTTTTTCTCAGACCTACGAAGGTGGCGGCGGATTTCTCTCAAATGACTTTCACGATCTCCTTTGTCGTTGCACCCTTCAGTCTTCAACTTCTGGGCTTGTCCTCCGAAGTTCCTGTCGTCTTGTACCTGTTAAAATTGTTGTACACGGTTCTTAAGGAAATCTGGAGCTGTTTGAAGATGGTCTTTGCCGTGCATCCAGCCAGATGGAGGTGCAGGATGGAGGCTTGTTGGTTTGCTCGTTACCATTCTGTAAAATGGAATATTCAAGAACGGCTCGTTCATGGAATAAATAGAAGAGGATTTGCAGTAAATAGTGGCACAGATCCTGTCGAGATCGAAGGCCTCATTTTTTATAGAGAACCTGAAACGGCCCAACGGCCGCACCCTGTAGATAGAGTATGAAAAGCTCTTCAAAATACTTACTAACGAACACACCTAACTGTTTTCTTTCCTGCAACCATGCCACATGATGTCAAGCCGTACCAACTCCACCTTCGCAACACCATTCTATTTCTCTTTTTATCTGGCCAAGAACCCGCGGAGCGCGGAGATCGAGACGTATGAAGGATGCTCACAAAAAGGTTGCTCCTGCTAGATTTACAATTCACAAGTGGCACAGAGGTTCACGTCGGACGACTATTCCATCGAATATGAAGACTGTCCGAGACGCACAATGGAGTTGAATTTGGACGTGCTGCGGAGCCAGGTGGAGGCCGATCCGTACCGAACTNTTCTCTTTTTATCTGGCCAAGAACCCGCGGAGCGCGGAGATCGAGACGTATGAAGGATGCTCACAAAAAGGTTGCTCCTGCTAGATTTACAATTCACAAGTGGCACAGAGGTTCACGTCGGACGACTATTCCATCGAATATGAAGACTGTCCGAGACGCACAATGGAGTTGAATTTGGACGTGCTGCGGAGCCAGGTGGAAGCCGATCCGTACCGAACTACTCGTGAACTGGCAGTCACCCTTGGGGAGTGAGTCCTCAGTTATTCGTGGATTAAAGTCAATCGGCAAGGTGCGAAAGCTCGGTCGAAAGGTGCCTCATGCTTTGAAGTAGTATGACATGGACTGCCACGCCGACATGGCAGCTTCTCTCTTCACGCTCAAGCGCAGGAATTGGTCAGGTGTATTCGTTAGCATGTATTTGAAAGAGCTTTTCATACACTATCTAACGACTCCTGCACGTCCATTTTCGTCACCACTCTCCCGAGTTATGATCTCTAGAAGTCATCACTACCACATTGTCCGAGGACTTATGACTCAACCTAATAGTTTTCAGCCTTGCATTTTTTATCTGATAAGAATCCGAGACACCAGAGTTACTCTACCACTGAGGAGACTGGTGTAGCGGAAGAAAGTAAATTGAATCAAAGAGACAGCAATATGTCAATGGTCATCAGAAGGAAAAATCGCAGAAAGTTGTTACGATGAACAAAGAAATTTACCACTGGTCGTAAAGTTCATGGATTCTTGTGACTGATTTAGATTTCAGACTCTGTGTAGGGAATCCTTTCAGCAGTAAGAGTCGACTGATGTGGTGGTTTGGTGGAGAAGTTATGGGTGCGACAGGATACGCAGCAATGATGTTGACTGCTCTTCTCTTCATAATATCATCGTGGGTTTTATATATACGAAAACATCTCCAAACCAAAAATGCAAGCGGTTGACTACATACGTATAAATGGATAGCTGAAGGTGATAACAAGAGAAAACATCGATGACTCAAGCTGATGCTACGTCTGTGAGGTTTCAAAGGGGATTTATAGATTCTGTTAAGGTTTGCTTTTCTTACTGCTTGCTCAGCAGTAATGGTATGCGTTAGCTCTTTTGAAGACAACAATTTGCGAGTATTTCGTCTCACTGATCACCTCTTCATCCCAGAAAACACCTTACACATAAGAGTGTCGTACGTTTACGTTCCTTGAATTTTCATATAACTTGATTCGTATTTTCTTCAGCACAACTAGGTAATCACGATCAAAAACTGGTACGACTCGCAGTAACAATGAATGTCTACGTTCTCTATGATACACTACATATTTACTTTACTAGGAATCCAGAAACTTAGTCGCTTTTGCTTATTTCTAACGGCCTTTTACAAATGAAGATTTTCCAGCGAAATCCTCTTCAAGTGAAAAATTTTCCAGTGAAATCCTCTTCAAATGCAGAAACGGCTACTCATTTTTCGATGCTATGAACGGCTCGCAGCTACTAGACGAAACCGCAATAGAAAGGGTGAGTTCTTGCCGGTCAACAAAATCACTAAGGTCGAAACACTCAGCTCTAAGTAAGTCATTTGTTATGTGCCTCATTACTATCTCATTCAAAGCGAACATTCAACACTTCAAGCACATGCAACCTGAAATATTAGGTTGAGTAAAAAGTCTGACCGACTCTCCATTCCTTTTTAGATTCTTCCGTTGAGCCACTCGGAAGGAGTGCGTAATGTTTTACGGTAGACCGATCCAGAACCTGTACTTTGGGTGGACACATGAGCAGGTGATTCGCAAATATTCGCAAGTATGACTTCAACCTTCAACTGTCGACCGAAGCTGTATGAGAACTATCGTCTGTTACGAATTACTCCAAGGGCATAATCCATGGACGGCCGTCGCAGATATCTGTGGTACACTCGGAGGAGTCATCGTATTTTAACCGACGGCATCTCGCGACGAAACACCTTCAAAGCAGTAGAGAGGTGGACTACATCCGGGGAAGATTTTGCTGTATTATTGGTTGGATTGTCAGAGAATGCTCTGCTTTGTACGACTCCCTGAAGGTTCCACCGTGACCGCTGAGATTTATGTTTATCACCTACAGAGTTTGACCGACGTCCGCAGCGAAGAAGTGATTTTCCTCTTCACGACAGCGCTCGACCGCATGTTGCGAAACTGTCTCGTCGGAAGATTGCCAACCTTGGATGGGGAACGCTGCCCCATCTTCCTTATTCACGAAATTTTGGTTGGTCCGACCACCATTTGTTTCTTGCTCTGAAACATCGCCTTCGCGATAAAAAATTTGATGATCGCTCGGAATTCGAAACCGAGATTTCCAGCTTTTTCGAAACCTAGACGCAGCAGTTTTGGGCTTCGGGAATCGGAAAACTGCTGGATGGTTGGACATATGTTGAGGACCATGATTGAGGCTATATTACGGATTGAGATATTTCTCAATGAAAATAAGTCTTTTTAGAGATCAAATTTTCAACTCAACATTTGTTAGATCTAATGAAAGTAGTGTCCGGTTCTGATGCCAATATTAAAATTACACAACTTTCTTCACGACTAACTTTGGTTGCAATATTTAAACAGGTCTCTATTACTGTCCTCCATTGATTAACCACTCAATGGGTACCTCTCCGCTGAAACGTTGCTGTGTTGGACGCGAATATTGACTGAGAATCCATATCAAGGTGCTCACCATCATGGTAGTTCTTTTTCTCCAGGAACTGAGGAAGCGAACGAAGCAAGTGGTAATGGGTTTGTGCGAAATCAGGAGAATATTGTGAATGATGAAGAAGTACGATGCCAACTTAGTGAACTGTCTTCTGGATTTCTTTTGGGACAGTGGGGCACACATTGCCGTGTAACAGGGAACTTAATCCATGAGAGGCTGCAACTTTTCGAATTCCGCAATAGCTGTACGCGTTTACAAACACCAGGTATGTGCGTCAACGGTGGTGCTGTCGTCCAGAAGTCGTAGTGATGCAGCCCTCACACACTCCTTCCGATGCATAGCATCATCGTCCTCACGTAAAACTCACTTCTTAAAACTGGTGAATTGATCACTAAACTAAACACTTCTAGAACCCAGTAACAATCTTATCGAGCCAGCCGAATTGGCGACTTCTGGACAGCAATTATTGGCAGATGTTCACACATGCCTGCAGGCAGCTTCACTCAGTTCGTGTGGAATTCATCTCCTTAGCTTGTATCATTTCCCCATAGTTCAGTGCTCCCACAGGGCAGCGAAAGGCTCACTGCCCTGTGGGAGCACTGCAAGTGTGTCGGCAGCAAGCTAAGTTCAGTAACGTAGTGATTGTTTCGAATGTGCTCCTTGATCCGATCAAAATCTGTGGTCAGCGAGCGTCCTCGATATGGAGGTCCTTAAAGCTGTAGTTGTCCTCTCAGATTTTCTGTAACAAACGACTACAGGTTTCATCGATAACCGTGCTCGGTTCTTCCGCACCACAAGTGTTAAGAGAGTGCCGTCTGCTGATTTCCCGGAATTATCCCGTAAAAAAAAAATGATCAACACGAGTCGAAATGGACCACATTACTGCTTCACAGGAACAATCAGAGAACGTGTAATTCCGCGATATGGAAATATGCTGAGATGCTTTCGCTGGCGGTAACAACAGAAGCATGTTTCATTTGAAATTGTTCTGAGGAAAGCAGTATAAGGTTCTCCAGATAAACTTGCAGAAACCGCTGACCGTGAGAAGTCCACTGTGAAACACGACCTGAGAACAGCTGCGAGTAAGACAGGGTTACGTCCTACTATGCCTATCTTTATAAGGAGAATCGCATAATAATTCGGTTATGTCGCAGCCCACAGTGCCTCAAGTACAGCACAAGAGGGTGATAGATATAATCGTGCTGACTTTTTCACAATCTATTGGAAACACAGCCTTGTTTTTCCTGACCATACATTTATGCTTCATTAGTCTAGACCGTTGCTTTGCTGCAGAGCGGCGCAGTTTTAAACATTTGTTCAATGAGGCCACAAATCGAATTACTAGGGCTATCCATTACCGGAGCTAAGTGCACACATGGGTTATCGCTTATGTAAATACCGCACCCGAACTTTTCGAGCTTCATCTTGACTGTATCCGCCTAGCTCGCCGAAATGTTCCCCATACCACTATTATTACCTTAATCAAGGGAACAACAAACAGACTGGCAGACTAAGTTTACAGACCAAGACACCAAGTTACTGCTTTACGCATAAACACATCCATCAGGTCACCCGGCTTACTTTTTACTGCCAAAAGTTCAGATCTTGTGCGAATTTAAAGCCATTTTACTCTCCCAATCAATCTGTAACAACAGTACCTACTGAAAACTTCAGAAGCCTGCATCAAAACTTCCATACAAACATCTAACATACGACAGGCCTTTAGCATTCCAATACCTCCAAGATGAGTAAACTTTTCTTGAAACGCGATGGTGTTGAGGTCTGTTGACTGTCGTATGGGACACTCCGAATGATACAGATAATTCTTGTTCAGCAGCTTTCAAAACGCTTACTAACCGCCAGGATTTTACCAATCTATGGCATATGGCAGTCAAGTGACCAGTCGAGCGACCGATCGCGCGACTGGTCGCTCGACTGGTCACTTGACTGATCGCGCCACTGGTCGCTCGATCGGTCGAGGAGGCCGCGCTAGTCATGGGTGCCGCCGTGGACGGTCCCGCGCGATCNATCCATGAGAGGCTGCAACTTTTCGAATTCCGCAATAGGCGTTAGGTGTACGCGTTTACAAACACCAGGTATGTGCGTCAACGGNGATCGCGCCACTGGTCGCTCGATCGGTCGAGGAGGCCGCGCTAGTCATGGGTGCCGCCGTGGACGGTCCCGCGCGATCAGTCAAGTGACCAGTCGAGCGACCAGTCGCTAGCGACTGGCGACCAGTCGCGCGATCGGTCGCGCGACCGGTCGTGGACTATGAAAGATGCCTATCGGTCTACAACATACACATCAGCAAGACCACTATCTTTAAATCTGAAGTTTCCTCCTACAGAAACATGGAAGGCTTCGTCTCAAAAAGCAGCGCGAATACTAGCCATTGCTTCTTGAGGACTGCATCAGAAGGTACTGGTAGTAAATGGTAGTCGAAGAACGGAGTTTCCAACCTTAGCTAGTTTTGCTGTGCTGAAGTGAGCTCCTATTGGCATTTCCAGTAAGCCGTTCGGGTGCAGGTACGTACGCCCATGGGCAGTCCCGTATTTCGCAAGCCGCGAGATGACTTGGGATTACGAAAGTGTTCCAAGACGAATTCACCAAAAGGTGAATCACAACCACTGAACCATACAGTTTCGAAGAGGATTCAGTACAGTCGATCACATACACACTGTCACAAGACTCAATGAAGTATCGATAGTGAACACGATGCCGTACTTCTACGTTCATCAGCTCGAACAAGGCCTCCGATACCTTCGTGATTGATGGCGGTAATTCAAGTTTTGAGCATTCAGAATGTTCCTATTTGATACGCATGGAAGCAGTTTACAGCAAATTCACTACCAAATTTCGCTATTCTACATGTAAGTCATAGTCTACATAAAGAGACGATCTGGTACCGATACTACCTTCGCGCAAGGCGGAACAGCTATATCTGGATAATATAGTTACATGATTTAGGCGTGAAGTCAACATGATGAAGGGCGTAGCTTCAAAGCTGGTGAGAAGGAAACGCGTGGCATGGAAAGCATTTGAGAGCATCGGGAAGTAGTGAAGAAATTAAAGAATTCGGTTCGTAATCACCTTTTCGACTCTACCATTACTCCTGCTTCGATACTAGAGAGTTGGACTCCACGCAAACTGGACTAGTATGCAGCCAGCTTCATGCAGAAGGCTGTGGAACGGCTGATGCTCGGAATCCCACGATACACGCAAATGCAGGGGAATCAGGAGTTTCGAGTTACATCAACGAGTGAAAACGAAGGAAAATCAGAGAGGCCACTGCTTACGCCATAGAGTTCATATCAGGTAGGTTAGACACGTCATGCGATTGTGTGATGGCTATGGGCAAGGGAGACTGCTGGCCTGAATGCTTTGGGGCTTCAAACGAGCACCTGAACGGCAACCAGCCCGATAATCAGAATTTTTCGCGAAAACTGCGGGAAAGCAATTATAAGATTTCTTATCGAGCGAAAGGTATCCACTGGACTACAGTGGCTTGCGACAGGAGGTTACTGCACGGAGAGATTACTGGTGCTCGCTCAAGCATGTCGATGACGACGGGACAAATGACACAGATAACACGCAAATCCTCTTGTCTAATGGATAGATATTTATATAACTGACAATAATCTTCCGCTGCTATTTCGATTTCGTGCTAGCTGTCACGAAATACTGGTTAAAGACTTCATACATGAGCCTAGTTATCTTGGCCGTTGAATTTGTGTTTCATCTCGAAAAACACCTACACACATCTCGGGTCGGTGCATTGGGGAGGCGTAAAGGTACTCAGTTGACATAGAGGTATTCGGATTCCACAGATTCGTTTGTGTTTTCCATCTCAACGTTCCAATCTAGTGTAAGGAATGAAACGTATCGTTGTATATGCCCCACTATCCCGTTTGGCGCAATCCCTTCCATCCCCCTCAACGCGGTGCGAGCTGGACAACTCGTCCAGGTTGTCGAGCAACCCACTGCCCATCCAGCTCATAGAAGCCCGATCAATGAAGCCACCATGATAGGCAGAATACAAGGAGGTTCATAATTTGGTGTCTAATAGTAGCCGCGTCATTGATCGGGGTTCTATCAGCTGGATGGGCAGTGGGTTGCTCGATAGCCTGGACGAGTTGCCCAGCTCGCAAACCGCGTCGAATGGGCGGCGCGATGGGAGGGATCGTGCCAAACGACGGCCTCCCGGCCCGGTGAAATGGCTGAAAGAGAAGAAGAGACAACTACAGCTCACGATGAAGCGGTGAAGAGAGCCGCTGGATATACCTGATGTACGACATGTACCTGTTTCAGAAGATCAACTTGTTAAATGTAAGAGATGAAGCAAGAACTATTGAAAGAGCTGCGCACAACATCAATGCAACGTCAGCATATGATACGTTCTTGGCAGACGGTAATGTGAGTTTCGCTTCTCTTAATGCTAACATGTTTCCCCGACCATTTGACAGAAATGAACTTACTTTTTTATATTTAAGACACAGCTAACGATAATTTTGAGGTACCCCTCTTTATTCGAAAAGCGGAAGTTAGCCTGGGAATAGTTCATCGGTAGTGGAGAAAGAATTCGTCAATTTCGAGAAAAATAAGGTTCCTTAAAAAAGGGAAAGTGGAGGTTGGACGAAGGGGTATTTGGACGAGATTTCAGAAGATGCAATTGCGCATGAGCTGACTATAATACATCTAGCCAGAACTGTGCAGGACTGCCTTTCGCTGTAGCTATGGGTCATAACAAGTTGTTTGAACTTCCTCATAGGTCCCCTAGTGATCGGTGCAGCCTCTACAGTGCCGGTGAAACTTGTCCGATGGTACACACGGTACAATCGTTAGGATTTTACCACACCTTGACTAGCCGTTTTCCGACCTAATAGCGCCAGATATGGTATAGAGGAAACATCGAATTCATCCTATGGGAAATCTCAGAGACCATTTTTATCATGAACTGTGCTTTTAATGGGCTTTTCAAAATACTGTCACCCAACCGGTTCCCGGAAGTCCTATTGAACCACACTCACACTCGGATATAACAGTTCTCTCTCCGCTGGCATCTACATGATGAAAATGATGAAAGTTTCAGGCACTTTTTCGAGAGGCAACATCAAAAAAAGGCTAGTTATAGTTTGATTATCCTAGAAAGCCTAATTTCATCTGAACACAACCTAACTTTCAGATATTGTTCAGAAGCTCAAAGAGGAAGCAGAATCCAGCTTGAGAGCATTTCAAGAAAGAGTGCAAGGCATCGTGAACAATGTAAGTTTGCGGGATTTTGAGCTTTGTCTTCTCAACATCTTGACCTCACGTAAGGGCTTGACGTAATTCAATTTTTCAAGAAAGCATTTTTAAGAAAAAATGAATCACGATAAGTCCTAGTCTTATTGTACCCTGCATCATGCTAAGATCTAATCAGCAAATTAGATAAACTATAAATTAGTGCGGCGGGGGATCATCAAACACGTCCAGTAGCGGAACATATTTTCATCAGCACTGTTCGCACAACAATTCATATTTTCGAGCAGGAAACTATGCAAAGCTCCCAGTTTCCTTTTCTGGAACTTTTCCTTTTAAGCTAAAGAAGATGGCTGCAATCATCCAGCAGTTGAGCCCTCTTGCCTTCGAAAAGGAAGCAAAAACCATAAATCAATATGTGACGGATTCAGTGAAGGATTTAGTGGTAAGTTTGGTCAAAGCGAAGGTTGAATTTATTGTTATTTCAATTTTCATAGTAACAAACTGAAAATAAGGTACAAGACTCGTCTGGGAGGATAAAAGTACTGGGTTGTATGTCGGCTGGCCACCGCAGGCCATTGTGTAGAACACATACGCGTTCAATCCGCCACTACGATTGTGAATGGAAGTCGAATGCGTGAGCGCATCCCTCAGACGGGACTGATTAACACCCCAGAACTTCATCCTAGACTTCTAAAGTGAAATTGAATTAAGTTGTGACCTTTCGAAAGAAAACATTCTCTAATTAATGCACTCAAATATTGTCTATCAGCTGCTGCTCCCAGTATAAGCAGGACTATTCATAAAGTTTCATAGATGAAGGTCCTCTCCCTCTCAAGGATCCGGTCGCTACGCCATGTTGCACGACCCCAGATGACGGACATGAGAATGAGTCACAGACAAAAAATCTTGCATAGTGAGCTCAGAGACGCAGGTTGATCTAGTGGATGACTACACTTTTTCTGCTGTCCGGTTCAGCCAAAAGCTTGCACTCGAGTGACTGGGGAGTATCTGAAAGGCGATTCGAGGGTGCCTTCAGTATCAAAGCCTTTTTCCATTCTAAAGAAGCCTGGTGGCCACTCGGGATCAACCCAATCTTCACGTTTGAGCCGGGCAAGGTACTCGTGCCGAAATATGCCAGCAACTATTATATAAAAGAGTTTCATTCTCCCAAACATGAGGGAGCTCCCAATAAAGCTGCGCTGGGAGCACTCGAAAGAGACTGCTGAAATCTCAGGGCCGAAAAAGGTTGCCTAAAAAGAGGACTGAGAGGACGAACTGTATTTTCAACGCACGAACGCTTGCACCGGAAGCCTGTATTGAAGATCTAAAAGAAGATCAAACACGTCGTCATCGGACTGACAGATACAGAAGACGTCGCGTGCTGCCCGCCTTCTTCGAGAATGGAGAAGAACTATTTGTTGGAACATGCTACAGAAGAGTATCGGCCGTATAGGTGTTTCCTTCAAAACGTACTTTGCCTTGAACACCGATTCGTATGAAAGCTTGACAACCCGAATTGGACGTTTGCGATAGCAGAGATGTGTGACAATTTTCGTTGCTTACACACCAACATCAAAATACGGAGAGGAGCTCGAAGCGTTTTATATGGACCTGTGAAGGATTCTCAGAGAGGTCGACACTTTCTTCGAGGTCATCGTCGGTGATCTCTGCTCCAAAACTCGCCACAGAAAAACGGCTGAAGAGCTTTCGAAACTCACCGAACGAAATGGAGTGAGCAGGGGAAGTTTGTCCGAGTTTATCACGTCGACCCACACTATCCAGTGGTAATTCGTAGTTCCAGAAACCTCTTCATTTGCGATGAAGTTCCGTAATGAAATAGATCACGTCATCTTCAAATAAAAGGTTTGCCTGAATGACGTCGCTGTTGTCCCAAATTTCTACACAGGATCGGACCGTCGTCTGCTCCGCGCTAGATTTCGTTGTTCAGTGCATGGAGAGCTGCGAAGTTCAAGAAACGAAGATACAAGTTTTTCCTCAACTTGAACCGCTACCTTTGCGAGATTCTAGGAAGATTTCGTTCAATATGGACGAAGAATACAACCGGTTCGTCGAACAACTTCATGATAATGCTAGGAAAGCGGATAGCCTACAAGTAACAAGGGGACGTCTCGTTTCGAAGACTTGAGCTGATACGCCAGCGTGGAATCGCGCGAGCTACAGGCAATCATCGACAAACGTAATGGACGAATCAGCCGAAGACAGAAGAAGCATTCTCAAAGCCCTCCATAGCTTCGCCAATCACAAGACTACCCTTCGTCACAGGTGGAACAGTTACTGAATTCGAAGCACCATGGAGAAGGACATCTTCAACGTCAATTCGAATCTCTTCGACAGTCTGGTCTTCCTGCCTACCGAGATCGCACAATCTGCCTGTTGTTTGTAATCTGGAAACTTTTCTTACGTGTCATCCACAACATGATTCAGAACAGCTCTTGTATAATTAACAAAACTCGGCACGCAGGGGGTTCAGTACAGTCGATCACATCCACAATGTCACAAAACTCATCGAAGTATTGTGAGAATACATTATGCCGTTATATTTGACGTCCATTGATTTAAAGGCTTTTGATCGTCGAGACAAAAGCGGTAGTTGAAGCCTTGCGCAACTAGGGCACTCCCTCTCAATATATTAGGATGCCTCGTGAATTCTATGACTAATTGTAAGAAGTGAACGGAACATTCAGCGTGCTGTGGAAAGGATGATGCCAGTACTTCCTCTATACACGAAAGTGGTTAACGGTAACCGGCGTTTCGAGCTCCGTCAACGATTGAGGATCAGAGATGCCGTTCTTACGCCAAGAAATCGAAGATCATGTGGGTCGGACACGTTATGCGTTATCATGATGACCGTTGGACCAAAGCGGTTACTGACTGGTTCCTTTGTCATGTCGAACAAACGCCAGGGAGGCCGCGGCGCAGAGGATCGCTCACTTCACGAAAACTCTGAACGAGAAGAATACCGTGCCCTTTGAACGAGGATGATCATCTGGCACACTGCGGCTCGCGACAAGGAAGAATGGAGACGTTACTGGCGCCTGCTCAGGAAATAGTCACCAACGAGATTTCATAACTAGAAAATATTCGCCAACATTAGTATCCCACGGTGCTTTACTGTTTCAGATTTCCACGAATCAGAGTAAGAAAGACACCTCAAAAAAAACAATGCTCACTGGAAGTTCGACTCAAACCGTTGACAATACACCTTGTTCAAAAGAGATATAATTCTTTAACTGGTTCAATTTTATATTTGATTTGAACGTCTAAAACCGAGTACTACGTAATCGCAACTTCATCGACCCATTCAAACAAGATTATAAGGTACCTGAACACATTACTCATTTATAGTCATATGGAGCTGATATGTCACCTCGCTGCGGCCAACTTATGAGTATATGGAACAACATTGGATGGTACGCTTGCAAGTTTATCGCACAACCGCTGTCAGGAATTTGGGTAGCTTGTGGTGAGTGTGCGTGATTTATACAAGCACTTCAGAAGGGATGGGCATCCACTTACTACGATGCACCAAAACCATTCAGACCCGCTTTATAGCATAGAGCACCGCTTTCATTGAAAATCTTTAGTTTAGCTACGGCGCCACATCCAAAATCGGCCCTACTAATTTTAAGTACGTAAGAGTTTAGGCTACTCGCCCTTCAGACTAGTTGGCAGCAGTAGATTGCCAACAATCTGACTGTAATCCTTACTACACTCGTACGCCTTAAACTGGATTTCCCTTAACAAGCAGATATGTAATTGAGTTGCTAAGAAGTATTCTTCTGATTTTAGTATCGATTATAGAAATTTGGCATTTTGGTTCCCAAACTTTGCGAGAGAGGGTTTTTTGAAATCAGCCCAATTTAATTTCAGTGATAACAGCAATAGCCTCATTGATTATCCACCAATCATTATTTGACACAGCAAAATACCTGAAGAGTGTTCATCGCTATCGACGTTATGCAGAATCAAGGTGAGTTGAATCTCCTCCGTTTTCAGCAATATTTTCTTCAAAGTGCAATGTCAGTTTCAGGATTTTCCGAGGACCTCTAAATTTTAACCGAATTGATGTGAACAGGATCAAAGACGGAAACAGCAGAAGACTAGGCAGATTCTCATACAAATAGTTCGCCGAGTCTGTTACTGGGTACATTTACATTGCACAAAAGAAAAGAGAAAAGGGAACTCGTGTGTGTTACTTACGCAGCGCTCCAATGTTGTACAAAATACGGCAGAGCTGTGGTTTATAGTGAGAGAGAAATACGTTCTATCCTCAAAGGAAGAAATTTTCGACGATACGACTACCGCTTTTTATTAGGCAGTGCAAAACTTTTTGTACACGCCATGTACGGCTATCTCTAAACCCCGGCATAGTACAAACGTTGGTTTTCTTTGCTTGTACTCGGACGAGGTTGATAAGAAAACTTTATTCCGGCTAACGTTTCGGCGTGCTTCGATCGTTCCAGGCTCTGAAGAAGGCGATCCACGCCGAAACGTCAGCCGGAATAAAGTTTTCTTATCAACCTCGTCCGAGTTCAACCAAAGAAAACCAACATTTTTATAAACGGTTATCGACAACTCGCGTTAACAAAATGCCAAGCCTCTGCCTTCGGAAATCAAAGGAAATTGGAAAAAAAAGCAAATAGACAGAATATGAATAGAACACAAAATGAACTAGAAACGCTGAACATCATGCAGGACTCACTTCTCCGGTGTTTTCCAACCTCTTCCCTTCCAGTCTGTACCTCTGCATCTCCTTTTGGAATGTTATCACCACGCCAATCATCACGGTCGTCTGAACAAGAAAATCTGAAAGAAATTCTTGTAAAATGACTGAAGTAAAGACGAGGGATGACGAGATACACAAGTGTCGAACCAGCTGGTTGCAGTAGGGTGGCAGATCGAAAAACCATTCCCTTATCCCATCAGAAAAATTTAGCAAATCTGGTGAAAACATAATGAGAGAGGGCCACTCCACTATTCTCCGCGTCTCTCAAGTTGATTGTCAGAGACAGAAAAGGATAAGACGACGGCTTTGAGGGCTTGTGACGTTCAGCAACGCTTCTGAGCATGGCGATGAAATTTTTGGGCTGAAGCAAAGGAGCGTACGAGCACCGAGATAAGTGTTCAACTGAGAGAGCGTAGAAGAGTAGACAAGAAAGTGAAAACGAATGGTCCTCTCCGTCCCTCTGCCCCCTCTCGTGGTAGCAATCAACAAGGACGAGGTCTTATTCGAAGTTCATGCGCACGACGACTTCGCTAGAAAGCGTACAACTTGCATCAATAAATTTCTTCAGGTAAAAGGGTACGAAGGAAAAGAAGATGAGCTCGGCAAACTTACAGCACCCATAGAAAATAATGAACGAATGAATGAAATAAATCAGTAAATAAATAAATGAGGGTTATTCAATCGATTCAAAAGTACAGTAAATAGAAGAGATAACTCAGACAGCGAATAAAAAGCGGT